TCATATATTAAAAAAAAGTTGTTATTCTGAAACATACTACATGCATATTCATAAAACAATATTTTACATTGATAGTTTGATTGGAAAGACTGGATACAAACCGATTAAGTTTTAATATTTTACATAACTACCCAGGATATTGTAAATTTATACAAACATAAACTGAAATACAAAAGTACTATTACAAATTATTCTAAATCTTCCAACAGTATACCACCATACTGCTTATTTATCTCCTACAATTGTTAAACATAGAGAGGGGTAAGCGGTGACGTTTACTGAGTTTAATAATAGATACAATATAACGTTATGTCAAATATATACATCAATATAGCAGAAGTAAAGAGGAACAACAAAGACATATGTGAATCATGTGATAAGCTTTCCATATCAATTGGGCTTCTCGAGCACCTCGGGGCGTGTTTCGGGTGTTGGAAATGATTCTAGGGCTTCGAGGGAAGTGGAAATAGCTAAAATATGAAATTAGGGGTGAAAATGCCAAATTTCCAAACAAAATCGAGAAATATCGCAACACCCCCCCCCCCCCTGTTTATAGGGTGCGAGACCGAAGATCAATGGTTGAGAAGGCTCCACGCGGCAGCAGATGCGAAGGCCAGGTGGAGGGTGCGAGGTTCGGACACCAACGCTACACGCGTCAGCTTCGGACTGGTCCAACGCGTCGGATGCGAGGAGTCACCGGGCACGCGTCGGAGTTTCGGCTACACAACGCATCGGTGACTAAGTTGCTTCGGACACGAGGCAGACACGAGGAGAGATCCGGACAAGGGTGACGTGGCTAAACACCAACCATGCGAAATTCCTCGGATTTCGGACTTTTCTTGATTTTTGTGTCCCGAACTTCTAAAATCCATAACTTTTGCATACGGACTCCGTTATCGACGTTCTTTATATGCACGCGTAGACGGAAATATACTCTACAACTTTTGTTTAGATTTCATTGGCTAGTTTTGATTTATTTTTAATATTATTATTTTTAGCAGACCGGGACAGGAAAATCCGTTAAAAATTCATAACTTCTTCATTCGACGTCCGTTTCCGTCAGTCTTTTAACCGTTGTACTACTATTGATGAGACATTCGATTCTCGTTTAGGTTGTGTCGGCAAAATATCGCTCGATCTTTATTTCGAGTTTTTAGCTGTCTACTTCTATTCTAAATATTAAAAAAATCATAACTTCCTCATACGAAATCAAATTTTGGCGTTCTTTTTATCAAAAATTCTAGGTTTAACAAATGCTACGACTTTCATTAAGATCACCAAGGCTAGAAAATAGGTTATCAAAAACTCACTTTTTACGTCATTCGGCACCGTGCCGGTTCGGTCGCGAATCTTCGATTGGTCAAAACTTCTTCGTTATAACTCGGATTTCGATGAGGTTTTCGCCTAAATGTTTCTAACGAAATTATCTACAACTTTGAATAATAAAATTTTACTTATTTCAAATTTTATATTATCGCTATATTTTACTATTTGACATATGATTGGAATCTCATAAGACTTCCAATATTTTCTGAGTGATTCTAAACATAGTTTTACTTCATTTATAGTAAAAACTATATGTTATAACTCAATACTTTCAAAATTATATAATATTTCATAATATTATTCACTTTAATTAACAAAACACGATTTCAAAAAGTGTATGTTACAAATACCTCCTTCTCCTAAGGATTTCGTCCCCGAAATTACATCGATTAAAATAAATGGGGATATTTCGCTTTTATCTCATACTTATTTTTCCAAGTATAATTTGGGCCTCAATGGTGTTTCCATTTGACAAGCACCAACTCTACTTCTTTATTACATAGCTAAGTCGTTCTTTTATTTACGATCTCTTCAGGTTCTTCTACGTATCTTAATTTATTGTCCAATTTTACCTCGGATAACGAAATCGTTTCATCATATATGCTCAAGCATTTGCGCAGATAATTCACATAAAACACATCATGAATACCTGCCAAATCTTCAGGCAATTCCAAGCGGTATGCTTGCTTTCCAATTCTCTGGATGATTTTGAAAGGTCCAACAAATTTAGGACTCAACTTTTCTTTCTTTCCAAATCGCATAAGGCCTTTCCATTGGGATACCTTCAGCATTACGAAATCACCCACTTGGAATTCTATGGGTAGTCTTATCTTTTATGTATAGGAATCTGTCGATCCTGGGCCGCTTTCATTCTTTCTCGTGCGATTTGAATCTTGTCGATGGTGTGTTGAATCATTTCAGGGCCTCCAAGGATCTTTTGTCCTACATCACACCAACATAATGGTGTACGACATTTGCGACCATATAATGCTTCATATGGTGGCATTTTGATTGAAGTGTGGTAATTGTTATTATACGTAAAATCGACAAGAGGTAAGTACTTGTCCCAGTTACCACCGAACTCCAAGACACATGCATGAAGCATATCTTCTACTGTTCGGATTGTTCTCTCTGTCTGACAATCTGTTTGGGGATGATAAGCTGTGCTGAGATCAACTCGAGATCCCAATTCACGTTGCATACTCGCCCAAAAGTGAGAAGTGAAGCGAGTATCACGATCGGAAATGATCTTTAGTGGCACACCATATCTCACAACAATTTCATCCAAGTATACTTGTACGAATTTCTCCATTGGAGCTGTTTCACGCATGGCGAGAAAATGTGTATTCTTAGTCAGACGATCGACAATTACCCAAATGCTATCATGCTATCTAGCAGTCTTTGGCAATTTGGTAATAAAATCCATGGATAGATCTTCCCATTTCCATACAGGAACACTAAGACTTTCTGGAGTTCCTTATGGCTTTTAGAGCTCTAATTTGACTTGTAAGCATACTAAGCATTCCTGCACATATCTTCCAATGCCTCTCTTTAGTCCAGGCCACCAATAATCAGCTCTTACATCATAGTACATTTTACTTGTACCAGGATGTATTGACAGCTTAGACTTATGAGCTTCATCTAAAATCTTCTGTCTTAATCCACCAATCTTTGGAATCCGTAGCTGATTCTTAAATACCTTCAATCCTCATGGATCATCAAGTAAAACATCAACATAATGTACCATTCCTTCCTTCTTCACATTTTCTGTCTTTAAGGACTTAAATTTCCATTTCTCTAGCTCGTCAAGAATAGTGAACTTTACTGTAGTGTGAGCAATAGCATAACACATAATATTACGATAAAGTTTCCTGCTAAGTGCATTGACAACTATATTGGCCTTTCCAGGATGGTACTGTTGGATATAGTGTCTAAGTCCATAACTATATTTGGTATGTACTTGACCCGACTTGGCATGGTCCATTTGGGTTGCATGGCATCATGCACTTGGATAGACTAAATGAGAGAAATAAGATACTTATGGCTTATTAATATATTATAAGTTATAATATATTAATAATAAGAAGAAGAATATTTAGTTAGTATTGATCAATAATTAATTTAGAATTAATTATGTGATCAAAAGAAGGCTAATTAAATATATGGGTTCATTTTGTCAATCATCCATAACTTATATAGTGGGCCAAGGCTCTATGGATTATCAAGTTTGGTTAAACCCATAAGATGCTCCATGGATGCTCCATGGGGGTTACATAACCTATGGGTCATGGAAATGAAAGGTCATGACAATTATGGTTTACATGGTGTAACCCTAATTGTAACATACTATATAAAGAATCTATTCTTCACCATTTTCGGCCACTAGAGTGAACAAAAGGGGGCTAGCCGAAATACTAAGTGTTCTTATTCTCTTAAGAATTTATTCCAAGTGTATTTGGTGTTATGTGAAGCATTTGAGGCATCACACTTGAGGTGCTAGGCTCACAAGGTTTCAAAGGAATCCAAGCTACAAAGAGGTATGTAATTCTTACAAACTATTAGAATAAAAGATCCTCATGTATGCTAGATAGGATTATGAACCTTGGAAAATCATTTTGCATGTATCTTAGTCAAACATAGATCCAAGGTTTCTAGGGTTGCATGTACACCATAGGAGTGTTAGAATGCTCAAAACCCAACAGTGGTATCAGAGCCTAGCCGAAGGATAAGGGAATTTAAAAAAGACTATACAAATATATTTCATTCTCTATTTATCGCTAATATATACAAATATTAACAATCGAGGGAAATGATGAAAATGAAATAAGTGGGTCCCTATCAAGATAAACTTGTTGGTTAAGGAACTTATCATAATGAAGATATTATCAATCAAACACGTGATGAACAAAATGCAACAAATGTTGGTATTTTTAGTGTTATCAGCATATTTTAGTGTTATTATTATTCTTGTCGAAATATCGTGGGTTCAGTTAACCAACCATCTCACACCAGAAATACAAGGTACACACTCGGAATGTTAAATGTGAACTCGGGTAAATGGGGGTCCGGGGACAGTGCCCTTGGGTACGGGATTCCAAGGGGCAGCCCCTCGAAACCAGAACGGATTTCTATATAAAGAAATAGTCCAGCCATGTATTTTCTCACCAAAAACCCACCGATGACATCATGGTGATGTATGTTTCGGTTATATGCTAAAACTACTTCTTTTGGTGCCAATTTAGTGTAACCAACACGTAACCACTTTTCGCTCCTTGTATAAATGCAAGGTAATTATTCAGTAAAAGGGTTGATTAGTCACACATAAGAAATTAATCATTATCAATCTTTCTGTCTCTTAAGAATACATAACATCACAAGGTATTATGTGTTTAAGGTTTGCATTAAGCCTCTAATCCAAATTAGATTTCTTGGATTATCTCACTTCTGAATTCGTATACCTCATGCTATAAGAGACGAATTACATGTTTTAGAAAGTGATATAATAACGATCCAAGCATTATTGTTATTTTGAATCCTTATTTTCTAACAACATGACTTCATTACATAATAATTATCATGATTTATTAACTAGGTCGGTAATAGATACCTTCTCACATTCTTATGGAGAATGATGGATGATGTTGAACTTGTAGGCAGGGAATTTGAAGTTGATTTCATGAGCCAACATGATGCTGATACATATTAGAGGATAATCGAGGGGCCAAAATGACTTCAAGTGGTGTTGCTTTGCCTATAGTCAGTCCCAAGCTTTCAGTCATGTCAACAGGTTGGTTTGATGGTTTTTTAAGGACAAACTGTTGAATCAAGCTAGCTAGCGTTAAACCCACAGCCTGGAGGGCAAAAGAAATACCAGGGCACATTCGTCTACCACTACCAAAAGGAAGCAATTCATAATGGTTTCCCTTGACATCGATACCCTTGTGACTAGTCAAGAATCTCTCAGGCCTAAATTCAAGAGGCTCTGACCAAATTTTAGGGTCACGTTGCATCTTATAGAGATTTACCAACAGACGAGTGCCTTTTGGAATATTATATCCACCAACAATGCAGTCCTCTAGTGACTCGTGAGGAACTGAGAGTGGTCCAGCTGGGTATAAGCGGAATGTTTCTTTGATGATGGCATCCAGGTAGACCAAGTTCTTCAAATCCGACTCCTCCACCAGCCTGTCCCTTCCAACATGCTCATCAATTTCATCTTGGGCAGTTTCTAATGCTTTTGGGTTGTTGAGCAATAATGCCAAAGCCCATGTTAATGTCAAAGATGTGGTGTCCACGCCTGCTACTAGGAGTTGCTGCATGCATGCGAAATGGAATTTAGTTTAATTTTACAACATATATCTAAAAGATCTTGGAAAAGTAAATTCACTTACTTGACATGTGGATTTGATAATTATATCGTGATCAAACCCCGGGAATGCTTCTTCAGAAGCACCTTGAAGAACGGAAATTAGCACATCTATGAAATCTTGGTTGCCTTCATGTTGCTGTGAAGAGTTACTATTCATTTTGTGTTCCTTTAACCAGCCGTCAAAGATATCGTCCAAATCTCTCGCTGTCTTCTTCATGGCTTTTATGTATCCACCCACATCGAAGCACCTGAGATAAGGGATAAAATCAGAAGCCACAAATGCCCCCATTAACTCGAAGAACTTTTTTACTATGCTCTGAAATCGAACGCCTTCTTCATCCTTAGGCGAAAACCTCTTCCCGGAAATAATTCTAACCATAATGTTTACTACAAAATTTCCAAACCACTGACCCATATCCACCCTCAACACATCTGAACTCTTGACCGAAACATCATATAAATCTTTGATGGAGGCTCGAATTTCTGAAGCTCGAATATGCCCAAGCATTTCAACTCGTCGTTGAGAAAGAACCTCGAGCGTTACCATCTTGCGTATTTGTCGCCAATACTCGCCATATGGAGTAAAGCCGAACATGGCATAATCATAAGCCATGAGTTTTACTGCCTCTGCTTTTGGTCGACTTGCAAAGGCCTTGTCGTTTGTTGTAAAGCACTCTTTAGCTGTAGCCCCGTCACTCACCACCAAAGTTTGATGAACACCGAGGTTGATGGTGAAGATAGGGCCATGCTCTTCTACCATGTCACCTAAAACCTTGTGAGGTAGCTCAGGTCCACCTAGAAGATGTAGGTGCCCGATTATAGGCCATTCCCCTTTTGCTTGTGGTGGATTTCGGTTCTTCCCTGTCGTTGCCTTCTTTTTGCCGAGGGTATGCAGTAAGAAAACTAGTACTACAACAGATGAAAAGATGGATGTAACAATTGTTGAAGACGAGAGATGCAACTCCATTGCTGTGTGAGCGGCTGCAATAATTGTGGAAGACGAGAGATAGAATTCCAGCGCACTGCTTGGTTATGTGTAATTGTATATTTGTGCGCGCAATCCAAAAATATTTAAAATATTGTGAACCATACAAGATTCTTTTTTTTTTTTTTTTTAATTCCTTTTTTATCCCTTCTAAGTTACATTTATTTATAGACATGCGTTTATTTCTAAGGGTTAATACCTTAAAAACCATTATTTATACATATCCGTTTCGATTTAACTCTATCATTTTTATTTGTTACTTATTTGCCATTAATTGTGTTGACTAGTTATGAAAAGTCAATGGTAGCCGGTGTCGTCGGTTTAACAGGTTACCCTAACCGTTTACATACCCAAAATCCACTTTTTCCCCAAAACCTCTCCTTCATTCGGTTTAACAAGCGTTCTTCCTCACACATCACGTCTTCTTCTTTTCCATGGCTTCGTCTTCAACAACTTCTATCAGCAAACCGATTTATCGCACTAAGTGTGATTGTGGTGATCAACTGCAATACTCAGTTTCAAGAACTGATAAAAACCCAGGAAGAAAGTTCAAGGCATGCCCTAACTATAAGGTAAATTTGAGGGATTTTGTTTTCCCATTTTGTTATCTTTCAAAAGTTAGTAAATGAAGCTTTTGTTGGCAGGGTACCAAAAAAGGGTGTAAATATTTCAAGTGGCTTGACACGGAAGAGATGGAGTTTTATGCTAATGAAAGGGAGCCCTATAACGAAGTTGTTGCTAGTGGTGTTCTGCAGGTGATCAAGTTGTTGAAGTTTGTGTTGGTGATGTTAGTGGTTATTGGAGTAATTTTGTTAATTGATATTGTATTTTAAGAACCAGTTGGTTAGGGCAGTTGTAAGTTAAGGTTGTTGTAGGTTCTTCATTTTGGTTAGGGCAGGTGTTCAATGTAGTTATGGTAATGTTTGATGGAGAAGTGTATTGACAGTAATCCAATCTTACAGTAATCCAATCTTATTTATGTCCCTGTGATTTGGTAATTGCATTATAGTGATTCATTACAATGTAGTTATGGTAATGTACTAAATCTTGTGTAAGCAAGTGAAATATAGTAGAACTTGGTAAAACTTGGTAATAACTGAATGTACTAAAACAAGGAAGTAAAGGACATTAACTGGAATGACAATTAACATATGATTGTAAGCAGGTGATCACTGTAGTTATGGTAATGTTTGATGGAGAAGTGTATTGATAGTAATCCAATCTTATTTATGTCCCTGTGATTTGGTAATTGCATTATAGTGATTTATTACAATGTAGTTATGGTAATGTACTAAATCTTGTGTAAGCAAGTGAAATGTAGTAGAACTTGGTAAAACTTGGTAATAACTGAATGTACTAAAATAAGGAAGTAAAGGACATTAACTGGAATGACAATTAACATATACTTGCATTCATAATAAGGAAGTAAAGGGCATTAACTGGAATGTACTAAACTTGGTAATAACTGAATGTACTAAAGTAAGCAAGTGAAATGACAAGCAAAGTGAAATGACATTAAGTTCAAATACTTGCATTCATAATAACATAAAAGGGGGTATTACAATCTGTACCAAACAACCAATTGCCCAACAATGTTTTAATGGCCATTAACTACCAATGTTCAAAAAGGCCTAATTGAATACTACTAGATGCTATATACAATTGGATGGTTGTTACCAAAAGCTGATGAAATGTTAACAAAAAGGGCAAGCAAAATACATAGTGCCCATGATACCCCCTCCTAAATAGTCCTACTCCAAATTAACTGGTTTCTTAATACTAGAACCCCTTCCATCCTTATCATAAACTGCTTTCTTCAGCTTGATTTTCACAATTCTCTCAGAAATCTTCCTTTTCCTAGGCCTCCCAACAACTTGTGTATCTTCAATGAAGTCAATATTCCCATCATCTTCACCAACCCAAGCATTAGCATCTAAACCTTGTATAGCAACTTCTTGCACTGGTGGCACAATCTCATTAACATCTACACCCTGTAAGACATGATGTATTTAAATACCCTATGTTAATCACATATTAGTTTTAAGAAATTTAAAGTAAAGGTTGGCATACCATTTCCAAGTTTTCTTCAAGCAAGTTATCTTCAATCTCATTAACATCCTCTTCTAAGTCTGCATTAGCATCTACACCCTGTAAGACATGATCTAGTTAATTACCTTATGTAAATCACATACTAGAACATCCTCTTCTAAGTCTGCATACCATTTCCATTTCCAAGTTTTCTATAGCCTGTTCAATCTCATGAGGTTCATAACCACATTTTTGCAACAATACATCAATTTCATCAGAAATAGCATTCCCATCATTCACAATTTTGGGTGCAGTTTCCTGTACAGTTTCCTGTACAGTTCCATTTTCTTCTTGCACAGTTGCATCGTTTGCAGTTTCAACCCCACCTTGGCCATCCTGGTTTGAGGATCCTTCTCCAGCCTTCTTTATCTTCTTCTTTCTTTTCACTACAAGCTTAACTGCCTTTTGTTTATCTTCTTCTCCACCCCTCCTTGGCCTTCCTGGTTTTCTAGGTGGCACATACTCCTTCATCACTCGCTCATTCTTACAGGATTTCAAGTTATGGCCGAATTGTAAACATTTGCTACACCTAACAGTCCTACAAACTCTAGCTCTAACAGTTGGGAACTTGGAATCATTGACCTCAGACACATGCCTTCTTCTCTTGGTTTTTGGCCTACCAGGCAGTCTCCTTGTCAAAGGAGGTAATGGCTTTATATAGTCAGTGGGTGCCCACAGGTTGCTTCCATTCACTGGTGATATATTTGTGGTATATGCAGCCATAAATTTCTCTTTTTGGAACCAAATGCTTAGAAAATCAGTTGGATTCATGTGAGTGTAGTTTATTGCTGCTTGACCATGCACACATGGTATTCCAGATATCTCCCATAGTCTACATGTGCAATAGTGTTGTTCCAAATCCACTTTGTAAGCTGTATACCCATACCTTGTCTCAAATACAGACCCCCCAGTTGCTATAACTTTCCAGTTCCTATAAATACAAATTAAAAATAACAATTTCATGTTAACTATACAACACAATTTAATGGTAAGTAGTAACAAGTTTATGTAAGAATTTACCTCATCTCTTTTCCAAACTCCTTCATTTTCTCTATGATAGCTGGACACGATTCAGTTCTCCAAGTAGAAGCTTTATCAGCCAAATAATAAAACCTAGACATGACATAGATTCTAATTTCCTCTAACATTGTGAGAAGTGGTTTTTTCCTAATATTTATGATCATGGAGTTAAAGGACTCAGAAACCCCATTTTCCACTGCCTCACATGCATACCCTAGTCCAAAAAATGCCCTACACCATGATTGTGGATTCTTAGACATCAACCAATCATATCCATTTGAAGTGATTTTCTTAATTTTTTCCATGTTAGACACAAAATCCCCTTCATGTGAACTAGTTGCAGCAGCCCAGAATAAGTTTTTCAACTCTAAACCTGTATGCCTCTTCCTGAAGTTGGCATAAATGTGTCGTGCACACTGCCTGTGTTCAACATGTGGAAGGATAGCTTTCACAGATTCTAGAAGTCCCTGAAATAAGTAAATTCAACATTAATATGGGTTAGACAATATAAATGAATACATAAAAAAATTTGTAGTATTTATGTTTACCTTGTGTTGATCTGAAATAACAACTAGACCCCTTCCATCCTCAACACCCAAGTCATCAACCAACAACTGTAAAAACCAAGTCCAATTTTCTTTGTTCTCTACATTTACTACAGCCCATGCAATTGGATACACGTGGTTGTTAGCATCTCTTCCAATAGCAGTCAAAATCTCCCCTTTGATTTGTCCCTTTAGGAAACATCCATCTAAGCCAATCACACGTCTGCACCCTGTATTCCATCCATCTTTCAATGCCTTAAAACATACATAAAAACGTTCAAAATAATTCACCCCATCTGGATTTACAGAAACTCCTACTTTGCATGTACTTCCAGGGTTAGATCTAAGGATTTCGTTGGCATAATCCCATATCTTAGCATAGTGTTCCTCCAGTTTACCTTCTATCATCTCCCTTGCCCTTACCCTTGCTCTATGACATTGCCCCTTTGACACTTTCACTGAATATTTTGTAAGGACATCCTCCATCATCTCAGGTAGTGTCATTTTGGGCTTCCTAATTATGTCCTTAATGTAGTGTTTTGCTAACCAATTACAACTAACCAAATGTCCAAAATTATAATTCCTTGCACAAAGATGTGTTTCAACCATAGATTTTATCTGAAAAGTACGTTCATTATACTTCCACGAAGCATGGATCCTAAAAGGACATGGTTTTTTTGCATTTTTTTTCCCACACCTAACAATTACCCTACTTTTATCACTTTTCATGAACCAAAGTTGGTATCCATTAGCTACAGCATAGTTAGTGAGTGCAAACCTTAACTGAGCAGGAGACTCATATAACTCACCAACTGTAGGCTTCATTTGGTTCCACTTGACGGTAGGATCGTGCACCCTGAACTCGACACCCACTTCCAAGCCATTTTCATCTTCAAGGTGTTCATGCTCAAGCTCTTCCTGGTGAATGTCTTCAACATCAGCAACATCAGCTTCATCGTCCCCTTCAAACTGATTATTCTTTAACATTTTATCATCACATAAAATGTTAAGAAAAGGGTCGTCACACAAGTTAGATGTAGGATTGAAGTTATCTGGTTCAACATCCAACAATCCTAAGTCAAGACGATCATCATCAGACTCTTCTTCATCACGTACATATCTCAACTTTGTCTTCTTTGTCGCCTTTGATTCTTTACTTTTCATTCTCCGTGATGATTCTGCCATCGAACCCTTGAAAACCTTCAGAAACCCTCTTTCAAAACCCTCTTGCAAAACCCTCTTTTGACGATGATGTTATCGGGATACCCCTTTGTTAGTCAGACATGAGGGACAAAGGTGGTGGCTACTATGCACGTTCCCAAGAATTAGTAATCAAGTGAAGAGATGCAACCGGCAAGGAGGTGATTACCGGTTGTTAACCGGGTAAGGTGTAATAAATGGAACGTCATTTCATTAACGGTGGCAAATAAGTAACAAATAAAAATGATAGGGTTAAATCGAAACGGATATGTATAAATAATGGTTTTTAAGGTATTAACCCAATATTTAATTAAAAGTTAGAGATTATGTGTAACAGATTATATTATTACAAAAATTGCTCAATACTTTCAAATTGAAATCAATATCAAGTATATTATAACGTCATCAAATTACAAAATTAATTAAAAAATATTAAGCAAACCAAAAATACAGATAAATTAAACAGGAAAGATTTACATTTTATTTAAATTTATTATGTTTAATTTGCATAGATTATTTAATTTGTACTTAAATCTTTCAGGTATAAATTAAACATATAATCTTTCTTTGTATATCTTGTATCTTTGTAAGTATTATATGGCAATATCCGTTTTCCGTTGTTTTTTGTGGATTTGAAATTTCGAAGAAAAAAATAAAGAGTTATTATATTTTTTGAGTAACGATTTATTACGGGTCCTATTATATGTATCATTTATTCACATAAATTGTCAAATAACCAGGATACATATACACTATTTTACTCATGAAGTGGATATACAAAGCAATTTAGAATTACGTGCGTATAGAATTACTCTTTAATACATATATAAATGTGTGTGTAGTTTTAAAGCAAAATACTTTAAATTATGAAGTTTGAGTGTAAAATAAGTAGTAGGTGTAAGAAATCAAATTATTATGCAAAAAATGACGAAGGTTACATGCATGGGGTTATAATTGAAAATTAGTAAATAATAAAAATGGGTGGGGTCTAGAGTAGGGGTTAGCAAAAACCGAACCGATTAAAGAAAAAACCGACAAAACCGCAATAAACCGCAACCGAAAAACCGAAACCGATGCAAAAACCGATAGTGCGGATCTAATTTTTGCAAAAACCGATGGTCAACGGTTCGGTGTGGTTTCTATCCAAAAAACCGGTCCACCAAAACCGAACCGCACTGCAAGCGTGTAGAGTAATAAATCAATCAATGTATATTATATACATGCTATTTAAAATACTTATAAACGATAATATATTTGTTATATGTTTATTTTGTGTTTGTGTAAGACTATATGGGGTGCAAAAGAAATGTTCTATTGTTAGCTAAACGTACTAATCGATTACACTAATAAGCTTGTAACAAATTAAGTCAAAATCAACCAACATTCAATTATTAATTAGTTTATGAGTAGTCACAAGTTGTAATTTAAGCGCCTTACAGTTTTTGATTATGTATTTTTGTTTTGAGTTGAAAATGAATGGATTAAAAAAAACAGCACAATACAAGCTTACATGCAGATGGTTTTCAGTTCTTACAGTTTTAAAAAACCGTACCAAAAAACATAAAAAAACTACACCAAATTCTAAACACGGTTTAAAACCGAAACCGCACCAATAAAAACCGAAACCATATTTAAAAACCGAAAAACCGAACCATTGCAAAACCGCACCCAACGGTTTTAAAGATGCAAAAACCGCACTATGCGGTTTGCGGTTCGGTTTGACCTTAAAACCGCACCAAACCGCACCATGCTCACCCCTAGTCTAGAGCATTTGGTTTATAAAATGTTTTAGAAGGAATTGGAATCTATTAAGGAATCAGAATCTGTCTTGAATTGGAATCTAATTCAATATTCTGTTTGGTTAGCAGTAAATGGAATTTGAATTCAATATTATATTTTGTTTGGTTGGCGGAAAATAGAATTTGTATAGTGTAAAATGACAGAACTACTATTTTTAGTTTTTGCTTACTTTTACTTATTTTATAATTATATGTAAAAATATATTATATAAATTATAAAAATAGTAAACGGTGGTGGTGGCGGCGATGGTGGGAGAAGTGACGGTGGTGGTGATGGTAGTAATGTGTGGTGGTGATGAAGGTGGAGGTGGTGGTAGTAGTGACATCACTAGTGTTAATCGTAGAGACAGTGGTGGTTGTGGCGATGGGTGTTAGTGGCAGCGGTGGTGGTGGTGGTGGGTGCAGGTGGCGGTGACGGTGGTGGTGGTGGTGGTGGCAATAGAGGTGATGGTGGTGATGATAGAGTTAGTAGTAATTACGGTAGTGGTAGGGTTGTGGTGTAGGTGGTAACGAAGGTTATGGGTAGTGGTGGTAGTGGTGGTGGTGGTGACGGTGGTGATAGTAATGGTGTCAACGATGGTGATGGTGGTAACAGAAGCGGTGGGTGGTGGTGTAGAAGGTGGTGGCAGTGGCGACGTCATTAGTGAGGATGGTTGGTGGTGGTGGTGGGTAGTGGTGGTGAAGGTTGTGGTGGAGGTGGTCGCGAGTAGTGACAGAGGTTTTTCATATTTAATGTTAAAAATGAAAAGGGTAATATGGTAATATTCAACACTCTCACTTGAAGGAATTTGAATTTCCTTATCTTTTAAATGAAATTTATTTTCCCTCATTGGAAGGAAAGTTGGACATATTTAGAAATCCAAATCCTTCTCAAAACTTGAACCAAACATAGGAAAGTGATGGAATTAAATTCCAATTCCTTCCGATTCCAGCGAACCAAACGACCCCTTAGGAATCCAATTCCTTCTCAAAACTTGAACCAAACATAGGAAAGTGATGGAATTAAATTTCAATTCCTTCCGATTCCAACAGATTCCAGCGAACCAAACGACCCCTTAGAGTCAGCAGAACAATTGTGATATAATCCTGGGTGTGATTTTATGTATTTCTCACTCTATATATTGAGTCACCAAAACAATTGTGATATAATCTTAGGTGTTATTTTATGTATTTCTCACTCTATATATTGTCAAATTATAGGGATAACACATACTATGTCATTCACAAGTAGGTATACGAAACAATTTGAGAAGTACCACAAAAAGAAATATAGGTATTAGGGGCGACGCTATTAAAGACGACAGACAGTATTAGGGACGACATGCGACCAGGCGCCTTCGTGTCGTCGCCGCTAAAGGGTCGCCTCTAATATTCTACATCGGCGATTCGTGTGACTTCCCCTAGAGTGAATCGTGGCCGTTCGTTTTTGATCTGATCCAACGGACCGGGTTTCTCCGTACCAAGGTAATAGCGGCGACGTCAATAGAGATGACGCCGTCGTCGCTACTAGTCACCAAAAAAAAGCGGGATATCTTCCCTCCAAATTGTCGCCCCAATTGCCATCGTGTCTCCGCAAATAGCATCGCCGCTAAAGGCTCCATCAACTTTACCTCCCCATCATGTTTCAGAACAGGCGACATCATGTGACAACCTGAAATTTGTTCCGTCACCGTAACCCGTTTTCCGTTAATAGAAGCCGTTCTTATCAAACTTTTCCGCTAACATTGGGATCCTACAAATTAAAATTTGGACTTTTATTATGACTCCATAAGGATCGGAATAAATTAGGAACACGGGAACACCCTCAATATTCTTTTAAAAAGTTTTTAGTTACAAAAACATTAAATTACGACAATTTAATCAGGTATGACCATAAGCCCCGTTTAATGTCGGTATCGGGTAGATTCCCACCTGGCCACAAACCCAACCCCCATATCAGGGTTGAGTGGACACTAAATGGAACTTTTACCACTCTATTCACTCTCTCTCTCTCTCTACTCTCTCTCTTCAAGGCTCAATTTCTTCCAAAATCCGCAAGTTTTAGCTCCCAAACTGTAAGTACTCTTACCCTAGATTGTTCTACAACTTATTACATGTAATTATAGCTCCAAAATCATCTAAGAAGGCCAAGAGTAAGGAGTCTACGGCCCAAGAACACTCTAGGGCCATAAACCCTTAAAAGTGTGCCAAAATGCCCCCAAATCTCTTCCTTAGGCTTAGAGGCTAACTTAGAACATACCCTAGAAGTGTTTTAGACATTAAATCTTATGTTTAGAGGCTTAAAAGAGGGTTTACGGCCCAAGAACGCCCTTAGGACGTAAACTCCCTTAAACTATGCAAATTGAGCCTTTAACCCCCTATTTAGCCTTGGACCTTCACATAGAAACTTGTAGGAGTAAGATAAGGACCTCAAAAACGAAATATAAGGGGTTTCCAAGAGTTCACGGCCGTAAACTATGGGGTTCACGACCGTAAACTCCCAAGGAGTGGTCCCAGGACCGTAAACTCCAAGGGAGTGTCCCTTTTGAACCCTAAACACCCCTCAAGCCGTGGAATTTGCCTTGGAACCCTTCCTAGAGACACAAGATACTTGAAAGCACACAAATACACTCCTCCCATGAGTTTACGGCCGTAAACTCATGGGGGAGGTGGTCCCTCAGCCGTAAACTCACCTAAGGTGAGTATGTGAGGAGTAAACTCCATAGTGAGGCCTAAAACTCCTTCCTTGCAACCCAATAGCCTTCTAGCACTTAACCATAGAGCTTTTATTCACATTAGGATGTCTATATGTGTTTAATTAGTGTCTTAATCACTAATTACTTGTAAACATATGTCTTCATATGTTATTAGGGTCATAGAGTGTGTTCAAGTCTTTACTTGACACCAAACGCTCATCCGACACTTCCACCCGATCTACTCGCTACATGTGAGTTCATACCCCTTAATTAACCTTTTTAAATGTCTTTACATGTTTTAGGGGGGATACAAGTAAATGCAACTAGTTCTAGTTCCTAATCATATGTGATTTATAACTTACAACCAAAAAGGATTTTGTATACTTTTAGCTATGTATCAATAAAACTGTTTTAAATATTTATCAAACGCATTTTCTAAGATAAACTGTTGTTAAACTATTTTCAAACTGTGTTTAAACTACTTTTCTTTTAAACTATATCTACACCAATA